GCTTCCAGCCGTACATGTTTGAGCCCTTGCCTCGCAACGCTGCCAGTTCTGTTAGCTCTACGCCTGCGGAAGACACAGACGTCCATCCCCGTGAACACTGGGACGCAACTCAATGGGAAAGGAAAGGATTCTGATTTCAACCGTTGCGTATATCAGCTGCGACATATGAATCAAGATGCTATGACCGAAAAATTTGATTGACACATGACTGCTGATATATGATTGGCCGAATTAAGGTGTTCAGGCTGACGTAGAACTAACTGGCCTGCAGAAGATAACGAAAAAAAACCACAGATTTTAAGACAGGATTTTTCTTAAAATAGAAATTTTCTAACTTTCTAACAATGTCGTCTTATAAAGATTACATTTATAAACATGGTTAAGCCAGAATGATTTGACATTTAAATATGCTTTCACTACGACTTCAAAGAAGACTTTTTATGAAATTCTGGATAGAGCATATTAACAGTCAAAAAATATAAAAATACATTTTTTATCTTAAATGCCAAATGTTTATTTCTTTTGTTACAATTTTGATATAACTACTGATCTAAGTCGGTCGCTCTGTCAGCTAAAGGCACAATTTAGAGTATATACTGCAGCTAACCATTAATCGATTACTAAATTAGTTCATTTTCAATTAATCAGGATTAATTGTTTCAGCCCTGGTTTAAAAAAAGATAGATATGCCAGACAAATATAAAATTAAATAAAGTAATGTTGCCATGGGAGCAGCAAGTAGCTCTGGGATGGAAATGTAGTAACACCAGAAAAGAAAAGTAGTAAAACCAAATTTATTTGCAAGTGTTCATATACATTATCATATTTATTTTTTTAAATTAAACTTGACAGGATTTGTTTTTTCCCTGGCCAATTAGGAGGCGGCGTTTTAGCGGCACCACAGTCTGTATTTCCAGCGGCGTTGACAGAAAGAACTGAAACTACTGGGTTAGAGAGCAAAAACAGCCTGTTTGAGGAGAAACCAGAGGTAAAAATTCAACAGCTGCTCACCTCAAAACGCGTCTTGATGACGGTGAACGGCAGCATGCAGATTCCCGCCACAGTTCTGGCTCCGGCTCCGAGCAGAACGGCCTCGCCGGCGTTCGGCGCTCGGTCCAGGAAGAAGTGCTGCTTCAGAGAGTAGAAGGTGCTGAAATAGATCCCCACGCCGGGGATACAGCGAACAAACGACTGCAGGAACAGGCAGAAACAGCAACGGTTAGCTGGACTCCCACTTTTCTTCACACAGAAGTATCTTTATGGCCACAAGAAAACACTGAAAGATCGATTAAAGTCTTTGCATGCATGACTGAAGCTGGACTGACTACATTTGGAATAAAAAGAATTTTGTTACTTGGGTGACAAAACAAAATTGTTTTTTTTTTTCCCTAAAAAAAAAAAAAGCTTCAAATCTTCATCAGTTTTTAAGATTCCAAATTTTTATTTATTTATTTTTTTAAGAACTGATCTACAAGCCAAATATCTGTGGTTTCATAGATTAGACAGATGGTAACATGAGCTGAAAGCAGCAGGATTTACTGCTGGATGATCAGCAACAAAACCGATCCAAACTTTCCTCAAAGACATTTATAAAGAAAAGTTTTCAGAGGATTAGAAACATCAAAACCAGCAGCGTACCGGTGAGACTCCCTTCCACAAACTGAAGAAATTCTCCGTCCTGATAACGTGAATGAAAACCCGTAACATCCCCACCTTGGGAGCTCTGTAGGGATTAAATGGGAGAAGTATTATCATCTTGAAATGGATAAATGCATAGAAACAGCCGTTTCTAAACGGTCTCAGATTTTATCAAATTACACAAAGCTCAGATGTGTTTATCTGGAGTTTTAAGAGGCAGAACATCACAAAGTTTAATGAAAAGCGGAAGGTAACACTTTGATTTCCCAAACAAACTAAATAGTGTTTACTTTTGTATTCAGTTCCCACACATGAATCTTATATATATGAAAAGGTGGTGGCAGTATTGTGATGTGGGACAAAATGGAGGCTGCTAAGTTAATTGAGAAGATAGATTGACTTGCTTTGAGCAGGTAAGTAAGACTATTTGCCAGCAAAAGATGAGGTAATGGAAATTTCCGTTCATATTCAGAATTCAAACTTCTGAAAGTACTTTAAATATAAAATTATTCCATCCTGTTCAATAAATGATCTGTGCTTTTAATTAAAAGCAATTTTTATGTGAATGTGCTTTACTGGAGGCATCCATGTTTGTCAAAGAACACTACTGCCCCCTCACTCTGGTGAATTTCAATGGTGAAGTCCTCTGGAAGCTGGAATAATTGCAGCTACCAGGGTTAGCATCATCGCGTGACGCTGGAGTGACTAATCGCTCTAAATGGGTCATGAAAACGGATACAGACTGGCTCTGATGAGGCGTCCATCATAGTGCTCATGCAGGTTAAAATCCTTGTTTATTCGTAAAGCATGCAATGTGTCTCTTCACACGCACCCTGGCTTGGCGTTGTTCTGAAGCGTCTGCAGTCGAGTCTTGACCAGATCCAAAGGCTGGAAGAGCAGCGTGGAGCAGGTGCCGCTGAGCGAGCCGCACATGAAGGCCTTGAGAGCCGGATGAGCCTGAGGACGGCAGCGGGGAGGAGAGGGCGAGGGGGGGAAGGCAACGACAAGGAGGACATGAGAGGACAGAGATATGGTGGATAGAAAATCACACAGGGGGGACAAGGACAAACAGAATATACAGAAATTAGTGGAAAAAACAAGGTTCATTAAAATATTAAAGGATTTAAAAAGCTCTTTAACATCAAACAAAATCACTATTGCATAAGAAACTGCAATAAAAAAATTCCCAACAATAAAAAAAAATGTCTCCAATATTAAGGAAATATGTTTATTTATAATTTTCAGAAGATTATTTCAATTTAAACACGTAGCAAAGGTTGTTTGAATATTACAGAAAGAAGCCTGCGGCACAAATCAGAGGTTCTCAGAGTGGAGATGATGGAAATGGAGACGGACAGCTTCCACAGACAAACACACACATTCTCATCCGGCTACATGTAGTGAGGACAAAGCATCGACTCCCATCCACTGTCCAAACCCAGACGATGATCCTAAACTTAACCGACACCTTCGACCTTAATCTACGGAAGCGTATTCCCAAAAAAATAAAAATAAAAATCAGACAGCTTATCTCATAATTACGAGATAGTGACCTTGTTATTATATCTTCTCATAATTACGAGATACTATGCAATAATTACGAGATAACATCTCATAATTACGCGATACTGATCTCGTAAGTATAAGATAACCTGTCGTATTTTTTTTCTTTGGTGAATGCAATATGCTTCCCTACTAATCTGACAGTTAGCAAATTGGGAATGGAGGACCAGCAAAATGTCCTCACTTTGATGCCAAAGCAGGAACACACAGAGCCATGTTTCCCCCCTACAGAAGGAAATCCTAACCTTACTAAGACCATAAATGTTTGCTTCAGAAATATCTGCCTCAGAGGGAATATATCCCATAAATAAAACTACAAACAGATTAAAATCTCTGCAATCGTTTAAAACGACACCTTGTCAACACATGAAAACACAGACTGTAGCCGAAGGGTAGCATTAGTTGTGGGCATCAACTGATCAAACCCACGTGCTGCAATTTCAGCTTCCATGTGAAGACAGAAAGATAAGAATAAGAATAAGAGATGCTTCTGCAACTTAGATCACACTGGGAAGCAAAGTAAAGATAACTATGAGCAATCTGCAACAGACAAAGACAAGAAGAAAAAAGCCCACCAGTGCCGTGTCAAGGCTAAAATGAGGCTCCTACCTTTAACAGACCCCCAGGGGTTCTGCTCTGAGAATCCTGCTGCTCCTGCATTTTGCCTTCTTTCACCTCCCTCTCATCTCGCAGCTACAAATGAGGTGCAGAAATAAAACCTGAGTCTCTCCCAAAAAGACCCTGCGTCTCCTCAATCCCACAAAGCCTTTCTGCCGCTTCCCTGCCCCCCCCAACCCCCGTTTCAAAGCAGAAGCTTAATCCAGCCAACGTTTTTCTGGGGGCTTCGGTCTTTATCTTTCAGACACACACATCTGTACATCGCTCTGCCCCACTGTTAAAAAAAAAACGCTTCCTGCTAAATTGCATCTTTATCAACCGTCATGAGTCATGGTGTTTGAAATGTAAATGTGGGTCAGAGGAACAAAATAACAGTGGAAACCATGAAGATATGGTTTGTTTTTGCAGCATTTGGGAAGAAGCTCTAATTATACATCAACGTAAACAGAAAATCAATCTAAAAAATACGGTTCTTTTATTGAGGAACCTGTCACACCTTGCCGATTTATCCAGCGTCTGCCTGACGTCCAAGAATCTCCTAAAACGCGGCACAAAACGCTGAACTTTCTACGTATTCTTTCAATTTTGGTCGTATACAAAGAGTATTCATAAGGAGTCCAGAACTTCTGCCCAACGACAGCCTAACTCCTGCATAACGCATGGCAGCGTAATGCCCAGAAAATGATGCCTGGGCATCAGTTAAATCTGCTGCCCTCAGGAGCATCATAACCACCCGCTGAAAAAAAATAAAATAAAAAAAGGAAAAATAAAAAGAAAGAAGGTTTGCAGTATCAGTAGATTGAGCGTCATGTCTGCTAGGAAGTGTGTTGGTGGTGGGCGTGAACGCAGGGTGGATCCATCACCCTCACCTTCTGGCT